AGAGAGAGGGGGGAGTATTTGGAGTGGCAGCGTGCAGTGATTAAGTCATCCGACCCCCCCTTCTCCTGATCCCCCTCTTTTCCTCCTGCCCACCCCCTGCATCCAACTCTTTCTTCTCTCTCAGCTTCTCTTCCAGCTCATTCTTTTTTCTTTCCTTCCTGTCTTCTATTCACTCTCTGTTCCATTTCTTGCTGTACTCCCTTTTCTCTCTCTAACAAAACTTTCATAAACTAGAACATCTCAACATGTTTAAATCTATACATGATACAAACATATTCATATGAATCCAGCTCATCTGTATTCCATTAGTCTGACCTGCTTATTGTAAATGTTCTTGAATGCACACTCAAGGCCACTATTCTAACAAGAAATACACACATGCTCACAATTTCATGGTCATGATTCTGGGGTGTATTATATATTGTTTTAGGGAGTTGATAGATGGCTCTCTTTTAGCACAAATATGAAAGAGGTTACAAACAGATGTTTGATACTTTGGGTTAGGGGTTTGTTCAAATACCTAAAATGGAATTGTAAAAAAAAATAATAATAATAATTAAAAAATTATGTATTATATGATAAACTATTGAGAGAGACAGTATTACAAGGGTAACGCACATGACACCAGTGTTCATATGAACTGGGCCTAAAACTATTATAAATTGTTTTCGTTAATTGAAATAAAGCTGAACTAATATAAAATATGAATATTAGATGCAAGCACTTGAACTTATAAACTTAAATGAAACTTAGAAAGGCTGCCTTGGCAATAACTCAAATAAAATAAGTTGAAGCGCTAAAACTAAAAAAAATAAATAAAATAAAATAAATAAATAAACCTGCAAAATAAAGCTAAAAAATACAAAAACTTAACACTGCATGACACTAAAACAGCTGTAAATATAAGATGAAATATAAAACTATAATATTTTTATATTGATCTGTATTCTGTATCTCTGCACTATGTTTGTACCGTGTAAATCCAAGTACGTCTAAGTTTTATGCAAAGTATTTATGTAAAGGATTTAGGTTAGCTATGTGTAGGTTTACATAGGTTGCATAGTTTTTTTTAATTAGTTAATTATTTTTTTTACTGTTTATGTAGGCTATGAGTGCAATACTTGGTAACTTATAAAGAAAGAGACGTTCCTATAGAATTCTCTGTGTAAACCAATCTTTTTTATGTACAAAAGCTGTTTTTTTTGTTTCAAAAAGTGTTTCAAGTTAAGTCAAGTCAAGTGAGCTTTATTGTCATTCTGCCATATGTGAAACATACAAAGGAACGAAAGGTCATGCCTCACAGGCATGTGCTACATAAACCACAGTGCTACACATGTAAACATATATGAACAAACATGGGCATACACACATAAGACATAGTAACTTTTTTAGCATAAACAAATAAAATAATAATAAAAGTGTTGCTATTGTAATTGTTTAGGGTGGAAGGAAAAACGCTAGGACACATGAAACTCTAAAAACACTTTTAATAAGATAATTGATAAAAAAAACAAAACCTTAATAAACCGCAATACATGCCTGTACATATCTCAGGCTGGGTGTCAGGAGTCAGGTTATGACGCAATTACGTAACGACGTGTAGCTGGATTTTTTTTTAATCAGCTCTTTTTGAAAACTACTCGAAGGAGCCGTTTATGTTCAAGCGTTTGTTTCCTGCACCTTAATCAAATAACCTAAATATAGTATTTATTAACGCGTTTCACACATTGTTCTGGAAAGGGTTGTTGTTGTTTATTTTGTTTTTTTAAACAATTACATGCATGTTTTTAAACTGCTCCAGACACTATTCGTGCATATTGTCATAAATATGGCGAATGATCGAACGGTCGGTTACATATGTAATAGCTGCATTTTTATTCATGTGTTTGTGTTTGAAAGAGATAAACACAGAGGGAGGAGGGTTGATGCATGTTTGTTTAAGCAGGAACCACATGACCATCTTGCTCGTAATGTGTTGTGTTTCTCTAATGGCAGTCAGCCATCTCATCTCAGCTCAACTACCTGGCAAATTAAGGATTAATCATTCCGTACAGTCTTAACTGAAGCTTTCCACGAGATCTGACGGACGTTATAAGCGCCAGCAATGCCAGGCATATATTTTAACACCAAAGTTGTAGTCTTCCCAAAAACAGACTAAACAGAGTTTGAGTAAAATAAAAATAAACTGAATTAGAATGAAGGAATAAATGTCACTGAAACTAATGAACAATTTAGTCAAAAGATTCTTGGCATGGTAGCTTTTCTGCAATGTTGAACAGGCCGTTAGGGACTACAGATTATAATGTGGTGATAAAGCATCTTCTGGTTCTTATCAGATATGGATTTGGTGCACTTGTACACTGTCCCTATCAAATAAAATGTATATACAGTGGTGTGAAAAAGTGTTGGCCCCCTTCCTGATCTTTTTGCATGTTTGTCACACTTTAATGTTTCAGATCATCAAACAAGTTTAAATATTAGTCAAAGATAACACAAGTGAACACAACATGCAGTTTTTAAATGAAGGTTTTTACAAGTTTATAGATTTAACTGAACTTCAGTGCCTTATGGTAGGGTAGGATAAAATGCCAGCTCAATTTACCCCACAGCATTTGGCTCGCTTTGCCTCGTAGCTGCCATTTTGGAAAAAAACTAGCTTGCTTACTGATTCAGGCTAATATTTAGCTAAATGATTTACATAGTTTTATACATTGCTAAATCACTTATATGCATCATAAATATTTTTAAACCTGGATAAATTTATTGATGTAACAGCCATTACGTTGTTTTTAAAGTAATTGGGTGCCTTCCACTCCTCCCGTGTGTTTCTTCTTTTCAGTCTGGCAGAAATTATGGGTGTTTTCAAAATACATGGTCACATGACAATAAAAGTGTACAGTTGACAAGATACAGGGGGTGAGTCAACTTACCCACTGGCTCATCTTACCCCACTCTCCCCTACATAATTGGCTTGAGAGAGTGTTAATAAAGGGCATGCAGGAAACGGTGTAATGAATAGTCAGTTTGTGGTGTTGTCGTGGAACTTTGCAGCATTTTGGTGCGTTTATTGTGCTGAAAGTGCTCTCTCATAAACCTGACAATAAGATCGTTAGGCTATATGTATAACAGTTAGCCTAGTTGTAATCTGATTTTCTAATCTGACTAGACAAGAGACTTTCTATTGATATCTCCACCTGCGCGCGTTCTAGATGAGCTGTCAGTCAGTGCAGTTACAGTGTTGCGCCACAAGGTGGTGGAAAGGGACTGTCATTCAACTACACGTTCAAAATCGCTGATTCATTCATTCAAAGAGACGTAATGAAACACTGTTGAAATCATTTTAACTTTGAGCGCCACTTTAGAAGGCTCAGCTGACCAGCTATGCTAAGATGCTAAGAGAGAGATTTCGCTTTCCTTGGACATGACTATTTTCACAAATGACTCGGCCTGGAGGACAGACGCAAGTAATCGCACATGCTCAGTCGATCTCTCTCTCATTCACTGTCTGTTTAGGCTTATTAAGTGCAAATCTACGGAGCCTCTACAGATCAGCATGGTACACATTGTTATCTTTACTAACTTGTTTAATATTCAGTCCACATGCATGAAGTGTAAAACGAGAAGGGCATAAACGTCCGAAAAAATAAAACACGTAAAAATCGCGGTTGCTGCGGTTCTTGCATTCCTCTGCGGTTTGCTCGTCAATAGCGCGGTATTGCGATATTGCGGTTATCGCGACAGCCCTACTATAAACATACATGCAGTGGCGTGGCGTTGCTTAGGCTCGAGGTTTTCTGCAGTATGTCACACGCTGCTCATTATCACTATGTTTGAAGGGAACATGTAACTTATGTAACTACTGCCATTATCAGCTCCTTACATCGACCCAGTTGTCCAGAGCTAGCTGCTTTACTTGTAGGCATGAGGGAGGAACTTTGAATCTGTTGTTATTGGATGTTGACAAGTGGGTTGATAAACTTCTACTCTCTATATTTGACCTAATATCTCTGAACATTGTATTGCTTAGGGACAATAAAATGCCATAAAACAGTACATAGTAGGACACTGTAGTTTTAGTGAACTCTTTATGACAATGGGCTATCTGGATGCTTAGGATTAGGCCATATTTTAAACTGAGGGCAAGCTGACATTCAAAAGAGTGAAAATAACAGTAGTTTTTTCCTATCTATCTATCTATCTATCTATCTATCTATCTATCTATCTATCTATCTATCTTCTACTTATTTATTTTTAATATAAGCACTGTAGCACAGTTTAGGCAGTGAAACTGAGTGTTAAAAGAAATGTCTAGTTTTTCAACATAAATGCTCTGTGTGGCTGGATTACATTTGTTCTTCTAATTAACGTCTTGTGTGCTTGTTTGTATCTATTTGTTTTCATATGTGTCATTGTGGGCAGGATGGGCTCCCCCAGCTGGGTCTTGGTTTTTGCTTCTTCCTGCCTATACTAGAGATTTTTTTTTCTTATCACTGGCTATGTTCACAGTGCCAATGTTTGGGATTGACAACTGCATTTTCTTACAGGTGTAAATCTTGAAATGTCCTGTTCACACAGCAGCATACAATAGCGTCTCACATACTGTCTTTATGAACGAGTAACAGGAGTCAAGCCCGTATTTTAATTGTGACAATCACCTGTAACCAACACTGACTGAAGTAATATCAAAGATGGCAACGTCCATAAAACTAGGAAGTTTTATCACATTTGACACAATAATCAAGTCCAATCGAGTTCATCCATCAAATCTTCATAAACCGACAACAGCTTTTATACCTGACTGGACAACGCAGGATTTGAGTTGCTTGCAGACCACAAAACTGATAGGAGCAACTCCGACAGTGACTGGACTGCATAAGTAGCATCCTAACAAAGCTTGAACCTCATAATTGACAGATTTCGAGTGCTATACATACAGTAGGCAAAGCTGAATATAGCAATTTCTGTCTTTGCAAACAGTGATGACGTTTTTGTGGGCGGGGCCTATCTGGTGGCTGAAAATAACAGATTTAAAGTAAAGTCATGGAATAAAATAATTTAAAAAAAGGTAATTTTTGAGTTGATATTTTAAAATTCTGACGTTTTTTTTTCTCAATTCTGAGATTATATCTCACAATTCTGATAATGTCATTTTGTTTTTCTCTTTTGTCCCTCGGCTCAGAATCATGAGTTTATATCCCACACGTCTGCCCCCCCCCCCCCCCCCCCCCCATTTTAAAATGGGTAAAAATGTTATAGGTTTAAATAGTAGGCTGTTTCATGCTGTAACTGTTGCGCTAATACACTATGTCCCCTATGAACTGCATATGTGAATATTATGTAGATTGTTTCAATCAAATTTATGCTTTAAAACGGTAATCATAGCAGCTTTCATCCATAGTCTGTCCGTTTAATCATCTGTGTTTAGCTTCAAATGGCGTCTTTGATGACAGTATTCTATATAAATGATTTGCATTCCCATTCTGTCATCTAAAGGCACAACAATACATTTTTTTCTCTTCTATGGATTTGACCCATTTCCCTCCGCTTGTTACCAGTGATTTTCTGCCACCACAATGCACGTGCAGCTGCAAGTGACATAACTGTGACGTCTATTCCAAATGGGTCTATAGTTCTCCACAGGACAAATTTAACTGCCAGTTGAAAGAGAGTAGAAAGGTCTCTTTACTTTCCAAAGTTATTGTAACAGTGCCCTTAATTGCCCACCAACTGTAAACTGTTAGTGTTTAAAGGCCTGTTCCACAGGTGCATGTGCAATAATTGTTTTTGCTTCATTGAACAAGCATGGAAAAACATTGTTTAAATCCTTTCCAATAAAGGCATGTGAAGCTTATTTGGATTTTAGAAAAATTCTTTAAAATACAACATCCGGATAAAAGGAGTTTATTAGTAACTGTTCATTTATTTTATGCATTGAAACAGTTTGTTCGTACAAACATGTTTCCTTGTGTTTGTTCAAACATCAGAGGTTGCTGCATTGATTTGTTTTGCCCTGGTACACTGTCAAGAAATGCATGCATTTGTAAATACTCAGTACATCCATGATCACTAGGCATGCATTTGTAAATACTCAGTACATCCATGATCACTAGCTTTGACAACTAGTGTATTCCTGTCTGTCTGAACAGGACAGGTGGCAGATTGTAATATAATATTATGTATTTATTTATTTATTTATTAAATCATGGATTTAGGCTGGAAAATGTTGATGGATTAACTCAAAAAGTGAATTGCAAATAACAAATAACAGGGGGTCCCAGCATTGCTGATAAATGTTAAGCCAGAAACCTCATATCAGTGAAGTTGTGCTTGATTAAGGTATGGTCTCTGTTTGCTTTCACCTCCCAGGTGTGCTCGTGTGTGTGTGTGTGTGTGTGTGTGTGTGTGTGTGTGTGAGTGTGAGACAGAGAGAGAGTAAGTGAGAGAGAGTTTAAAGCCCCTCAGTTCTCAATAGCTCATCTTCGCATGTCATCACTCACAGATGAGCTCATTTCCTCCAGTGATGTCACTGCTATTATTAAGCCTTAAGTCTCTGATCTCTCATACACCAACTTAACACACATTAGCCAGACAGCCACAAATGTTCTGTGAGTCTGTTGTTGTTGTTGCGAATGAAAAACAGTTTTCACTGCGTATTGCCTGCTCTTTTTTTTTTTTTTTTTTTTTTTTTTTTTTTTAATGGTAGGCATTATTTCACAAATTGAACAATAGTATTTCTATAGTCTTCACATGATTACACGTTTGTTTAATTCAGCGAAGCACATCCACTTTTAATTTAGGTAATAACAGCTATTTTGCAGATTGAATTATATTTTGTATAAAATTGCCTTAACATTTGGCAGTATGATCAAATAATAATGTTATAGAATCATGGCTGATTTTATTTGTGGTTCATCCATCACATTGGAAATGGAGGTCAAGTTGAGTGAATTGTACACATACTGAAGCAATAGTAAGAGTTGGATGCTGCTAAGTCAGTGACAAAACAAATGCAAATATTAAATTAGTACATTTTTCCCCTATATACTGCGAGCATTCAGCTTCAGATTTCAGACACAATGTAAGCAGCTAATTGGTGGAAAAAAACCAAAACACATTTTCGCACTGCAGCAGGTTAGTGTATACTTATGGCGCATGATTAGAACAACCAAGTTATTCTTTTAAATATTATGTGAAATTTTCTGTTTAATCTGTTGTCCTAGTGCATTAGGTTCACTGTTCCCTCTAGTGTTTACAGCAGATATTACTGTAAACATTTGCAGCTGAGAGGAAACATGCATATGTTTTGAGTCATGTTTGGTTGTGTGCAGATTTATTATTTACATTTTTATTTATTTATTTATTGCAGGGTACAGGGTTTAAAACAAAGAATGTATAGTGAATTGCCAAAAAAAAAAATCAACTCCAAATCAGAGGAATTCATACAAAAAACAACTATTATTATATATTTGGAAACATGCATTACATGTATTGTTAGTGTATTCTGTTTATTGTCTTATTAATTTAGTCTTAGATGATCATCTATTTCATGCAAACAGTCATTATGGAATGTGATTTTGTACATGCATCAGTAGTCCATGTGAGTAGGTGTGGTTGTGTTTAAGTGTTATGGCATGCCTTATGCCATTGCCTTTAGCATTACAGTATATAAACAGCTGCTTGCCTCGTGACTCGTTTATTTTTCTGGCATAACTGGTTTCTTAGCCCAATTCTAATTCTAACAAGAGTATTGTGGAATATTCCTTTACTCTTCATTAAAAATAATGAGTAATATAATAAATAGTAATTATTTTAAGTTATTTTAAATCGTAAGAATATTTCACAATATTACTGTTTTTACTGTATTTTTTATCAAATAAATGCAGCCTTGGTGAGTATAAGAGATTTCTTTCAAAAACATAAACAATATTTGCTTATCCCAAACCTTTAAAAAGTAGTGTATATGTGTATGAATTAATTAGCCTATACTGAGTATGTGTTCGGATTGCATGATATATCGGTGTTGTCTACTTTTTAGTGTGCGCGCGCGTGTGTCTGTGTGTCTTTTGTTCAGTCTAATTAGGCTGGTTGTATATTTAGTTCAGTTTGCTTACTTTGCACACACCAGATTTCAAACGTTCTTTGTTTGTTGTATTTTGCTTATCATATATATATATATATATATATATATATATATATATATATATATATATACAGATTCTCACACACAATATATACAGTATCTCACAGAAGTGAGTACACCCCTCACATTTTTGTAAATATTTTATTATATCTTTTCATGTAACAACACTGAAGAAATATCACTTTGCTACAATATAATGTAGTGAGTGTACAGCTTGTATAACAGTGTAAATTTGCTGTCCCCTCAAAATAACTCAACACACAGCCATTAATGTCTAAACTGCTGGCCACAAACGTGAGTACACCCCTAAGTGAAAATATCCAAATTGGGCCCAAAGTGTCAATATTTTGTGCACCCACCATTATTTTCCAGCACTGCCTTAACCCTCTTGGGCATGGAGTTCACCAGAGATTCACAGGTTGCCACTGGAGTCCTCTTCCACTTCACGGAGCTGGTGAAAGTTAGAGACCTTGCTCTCCTCCACCTTCTGTTTGAGGATGCCCATGCTTGGCCAATCCATCACCTTTAACTCCAGCTTCTTTAGCAAGGCAGTGGTCGTCTTGGAGGTGTGTTTGGGGTCGTTATCATGTTGGAATACTGCCCTGCGGCCCAGTCTCCGAAGAGAGGGGATCATGCTCTGCTTTAGTAAGTCACAGTTCATGTTGGCATTCATGGTTCCCTCAATGAACTGTAGCTCCCCAGTGCCGGCAGCACTCATGCAGCCCCAGACCATGACACTCCCACCACCATGCTTGACTGTAGGCAAGACACACTTGTCTTTGTACTCCTCACCTGGTTGCTGTCACACACGCTTGTTGACACCATCTGAACCAAATACGTTTATCTTAGTCTCATCAGACCACAGGACATGGTTCCATTAATCCATGTCCTTAGTCTGCTTGTCTTCAGCAAACTGTTTGCGGGCTTTCTTGTGCATCATCTTTAGAAGAGGCTTCCTTCTGGGACGACAGCCATGCAGACCAATTTGATGCAGTGTGCTGTATGGTCTGAGCACTGACAGACTGACCCCGCACCCCTTCAACCTCTGCAGCAATGCTGGCAGCACTCATACGTCTATTTCCCAAACACAACCTCTGGATATGACGCCGAGCATGTGCACTCAACTTTTTTGGTCGACCATGGCGAGGCCTGTTCTGAGTGGAACCTGTCCTGTTAAACCGCTGTATGGTCTTGGCCACCGTGCTGCAGCTCACTTTCAGGGTCTTGGCCATCTTCTTACGTACATTACGTAAGACGTAGCCTACGTCATCTTTATGTAGAGCAACAATTCTTTTTTTCAGATATAATTTGTTATTGCTATCAAAATCAGACATGATATTATTGATTCTCTAAAATGTATGTCTGTCTTTTTTAGAGCCAGCAGAAATGAATGGGGCTGACATAGGAAAGATGCCAGGTGATGGAGTTCCAGGTAGTGAGGGAAAGGACCCAGTAGCCAATGGGCATGCAGAGAATGAGTCAAACCCCTTTGCAGAATACATGTGGATGGAGAACGAGGAGGAATACAATCGGCAGGTCTGTACCCACACCAAACCACTTACAGCCCATTCAAGCCCACACCATAACAACAAACACAGTTCAGTTCATAGTTTGTATTGCATCGTTTTTTTTTTGTTTTTTTTTATCAACTTGGACAGGAACTTTTACCTTGTTTGTTTATATTCCAGGTGGAGGATGAATTGCTTGAGCAAGAGTTTTTGGAGCGCTGTTTCCAAGAGATGTTGGATGAGGAGGATCAGGATTGGTTCATTCCAGAGAGGGACCTCCCCTCAGTCGGACAGATTCAGCAACAGCTCAATGGATTTTCTGTCAACAATGGCAATGCAGAGGAAATCTTGGTAAGCTTTAAGTCTTCGTGGACATTCAGTATATGAAATATGAAAATAAACTTAAAAGTATAATTCACCCAAAAATTTAAACTGTCATTATTTACTCACCCTCACAATGTTCCAAACCTGTAAGACTTTTTGTTCTGTGAAACACATAAGTAGATATTGAGCATGTTTGGGATGCTCTGGATCTGTGTATACGACAGTGTGTTCCAGTTCCTGCCAATATCCAGCAACTTCGCACAGCCATTGAAGAGGAGTGGACCAACATTCCACAGGCCACAATCAACAACCTGATAAACTCTATGCGAAGGAGATGTGTTGCACTGCGTGAGGCAAATGGTGGTCACACCAGATACTGACTGGTTTTCGGACCCCCCAATACAGTAAAACTGCACATTTTAGAGTGGCCTTTTATTGTGGCCAGCCTAAGGCACACCTGTGCAATAATCATGCTGTCTAATCAGCATCTTGATATGCCACACCTGTGAGGTGGATGGATTATCTCGGCAAAGGAGAAGTGCTCACTAACACAGATTTAGACAGATTTGTGACCAATATTTGAGAGAAATAGGCCTTTTATGTACATAGAAAAAGTCTTAGATCTTTGAGTTCAGCTCCTGAAAAATGGGGGCAAAAACAAAAGTGTTGCATTTATAATTTTGTTCAGTATATATATGCATATTTTACAATTAGCAGTAGTGGTCGACCGATATATTGCCAAGGCCGATATTTGGTATTTTTCAAATATCGGCCGATAAGTTTTTCCTGCTTTCGAGGCGGGACTTTTATTTTGACGGCACTGAAAATGGCAGCGTCTGAGCACACAGTGCTCACATTCTCCCTCTTGTTTGCTGTCGTCGTTAACCGTTCTGTCTAGAAGTCTGTCTAATAATCAGATAGAACAAAGGAATTAAAATTTATGCAAAAAAGTATTATAACGATTGTTTTTATATTATTAGTAATAGAAAAGCAAACATTATAATACTGTCTCGTTTGCCGTCAGCATTCAGCAAATACGCATTTAAATCATTTGAACAAATCTTTGAATGTCTATTAATGAACATTTAATTTCACAAACCTTGCAAACGTAGTCGAATCTAGTTGAGATCTTGTGAAGTGTGCATGTGTATCCTGCATGATCGCGTATGCTCTGCATGACAGTCGGTCTGTGCGAATTGAATGCGGACAGGAGGAGAGTTCTTAAATTTAATTTCTTAAATATTAATTAAATATTAAATATTAATTAAAAAAAATAAAATTATATCGGCCATCGACCATCTTGCTTTCCAAGATATCGGCATCGGCTGTCAAAAAAACAGTATCGGTCGACCACTAATAAGCAGTATATAACATCTTTTTGTTTTTGTAATGTTGGGATTCACCTCGTAGCTGGTTGGTTTGATTTGTGGCTTATAAACAAGGACTTTTAAAAAAATCCCTATGGGAAAAATGAATGGGAAAGCTACCACTGAACTGGCACTGTTGCACTCTATTGGAGTCCAAAACAACACCGAAGCCCATTGACTTTCGTTGTATGGAAAAAAATATCATCTTTTATCTTCCATAGGAAGTTTTAAATGTAAGCACAATTTTATGTCAAATATCTTGTAATTGATTTTTACTTCTATTTTTCCCCCAGCGAAAGAGCATCTTAAACCCTGAAGCCAAGGAGTTTGTGCCGGGGATGAAATACTAGGGATCATCATTGTCCTCCTCACGTCTGTCACACATCTGATCATATATGCAGAGACTGTTGTGCCCATGTTTAGAATGGTCACATAAATGCGCTCTTCTACACATTTTCAAAGGAGCAGGAATTTTTTTTTGGATGGGAGGGAGGTGGGATTGATTATCTATAGCTTTATATTTCTGTTATGTATAAACCAAGGGTATTTATGTTTAGAATGGTCACATAAATGCGCTCTTCTACACATTTTCAAAGGAGCAGGAATTTTTTTTGGATGGGAGGGAGGTGGGATTGATTATCTATAGCTTTATATTTCTGTTATGTATAAACCAAGGGTATTAAGTTGAAACATGACCTCTAGGAGGTGCTGTGACTTGCTAATATCATAGTCATTACCAGGCTGTTTTATTTTCCTCTACCCTTGCTGAAAGGGCTGTTCTTGTCAGTTTCATTGTTTCACAGTTTGTGCCTGATCAGGTCTTTGCTTTCCCTCCCCTGTTGTTGAGGTTTTTATTTTAGTTTAGTTTTTTCTTTCCTTTTGGTTATTGATCTTTTGTAGAGGAAAGTTTTGATGTGTCTGTTCACGTTCCTGTGTTTCAAGGGGTGTGGCCATAAATGACTGGGGGTGTGGCTGGTGGTGGGTGAACCCCTTGGTTTGGGTTGGATGCTGAGAAAAGGGTTTTGGGGAATTCATATGAATTCAACTTTTGATTTTGAATTGAATTTGTTGAACGCAGGACTAAATTTCATTTTAAAAAAATGGAAGAATGGCAAATAAAGAAGAAAAGTTTGTACTCAAATGGACCATTTCTTATCCTAAATCTATCCGTAAAATGCTTACTAATAGTTGGTATTAACTCTGACATTTAAGAGTGGTACCGTTAAAAATGAACCATTTAACACATGCATATGTATGAATCGATTAACATATACATATTTTATTTGGATGAGAACTGAACTACTCTAATTTAGCCTCTTCAGTAATCAGCCAGTCAGGTAACCTCATCCATTATTCATTTGCAGGAGATTAGCTTGGAAATATCTGGTTTCTCATCAGTCTTGATTTCCTTTTAACTGCTATAGGGAATGGGAATGGCTATAATTACTTTTTAATGCTCATGAAAGTTGTTGTTTTAATGTAGGGTGTCTAGTTAGACCTACAACCAGCATCACATTCAAGTCTCATACTACTGAAATTCCTTTATATTTAACCCTACTTTACTTAGTTTTTATTCATGGTATTCAGACTTTATTATCCTGTGAGTTATTAGACAGTGACTGACAGACATGATGAATGGTATTGAGAAATAATTGCTTGCTGGTAGCAGCACTAAATATTCAGCAATTACAACATTTGCATTTTGAACCTTTTTTTAACTCTTAGGTTTTTTTAGTAACACTTTACAGTAAGGTTTTATTTGTTAATGCACTGTGGTCTAATAGGAAAATTTTAACTAACATCAACAAAGGTAAATAAATGTACAAATATATTGTTCATTGTTAGTTAAAGCATTAACTAATGTTAACAAATGAGAGCTTACTGTAAGGCAGTTGTTCCCAATCCTGGTCCTGGAGCACCCCCAAAACTTCACATTTTAGATGTCTCCCAAATCAAACGCACCTGATTAAACTCAGCTCACGTGATCATAATCCTGAGGTCAAAGACACACCGAATTGTGTACAGCAAATTCTGCCAGCCATCTAATATATGGCCAATGACTCAACTGGTTTCAATTGTTGAATATGCTGGTACATGCATACATATGAAAGCTGAAATATTGTGGTATGAAAAATCATAGGTGTTTGCATCCTGTGAGCAGCACATAGGTTAAAGAGAAAATACTCATGTTGCTCATTTTTCCACAGTTCCTCCTGCCATGTCAAGGGACATTTTCAAATTTGCATCACATATGAGCTAACAGTGTGTCATTTCAAAGGGTTCGACAAACAGATTTAAATAAACTGATAGAAAGGTCCTTGAACATTTTGTTCTGATTGTTTAAGACCATAAAAAGGGGTCATTCTTTCATTTATCAAGGCAAAGTACTTTATCATATCATACCAATCTAGTCTCACTGTAAGGCCTGATTTTTAGTGAAGAAGTGAAGATTGTAAAACAACTCATCTGCTTAATCAGTGGTGTGTTATCATGAACTTAAATTATAACCAATAAAAATATTTAAATATTTAAGAAACAAAATAAAATATGGGAAAAAAAATATTTTTTTTAGTAAAATTTTATTGAAGTTATTTGCCAAGCCAACATTTTTCATTTTGGTTTAGTTTAAAGTACTATAATAACTAATACTAATAAATGTATAGACATATGTGACCTTGGACCACAAAACCAGTCATAAGGGTCCATTTTTCGAAATTGAGATTTATACACCATATGGTAAATAAATAATAAGCTTTCCATTGATGTATGGTTTATTAGGATAGGACAATATTTGCCCGAGATACAACTATTTGAATATCTGGAATCTGAGGGTGCAAAAAAATCTAAATATTGAGAAAATCGCCTTTAAAGTTGTCCAAATGAAGATCTTAGCAATACATATTACTAATCAAAAATTAAGTTTTAATATTTTTACAGTAGGAAATTTACAAAACATCTTCATGGAACATGGGGACTCATTTATAAAATGTGCGTACGCACAGATTTGATCTTAGAGTGTGCGTACGCTAAAATCCACAGCAACGTTTATATTTATAAAAACGGTCTTTGACGTGGAAAAGTACTTACCGTACTTACAAAAAAAGTACTTACAAGGCGGAGATCTGACACCAGTTAGCTGCGCACAATTTCAAGATCATTTGTGATTTATAAATGTCACATCTGGAAGAAAGGAGTACGCACGTGTTTTTGTGCCCACGTTCGTTTTCTCTGAATCGCCCTTACGCACTTTTGAGAAATAATCTTAGAACAAATTTAGGACGGTTTATACGCAACATTTTATAAATGAGGCCCCAGATCTTTACTTAATATCCTAATGATTTTTGGCATAAAAGAAAAATCAATAATTTTGACCCATACAATGTTTTTTTTGGCTATTGCTACAAATATACCCCAGCGACTTAAGACTGGTTTTGTGGTCCAGGGTCACATATATTTAAAATAAGTAATTAAATAAATAACAATTACAAAAAAATAACACATTTACACGCACTTGTTCATTTTCATGGCCATACCATGAATGAGAAATGCTAAATGGTAACTGATATATGAATCATGGATCTTTTGATCTGGTTATAGGCATTCTTAGATGGACCAACCTGCCTAAAATTCTTCTCTAAATAAGTCTCATAACAATCAGCACAATCTAGCTGTCAGTACGTCTAGATGTAATGAGGACAAATAGAGGTGGGTCTTTTACATCTGTTCACACACAGGATGTGGCTATAAGGCAGGGAAGAAGAAGCGATGTTCAGGGTTAGCAGCGACTGATGCAGAAAGTCATTTGCTTACACCAGTGTTCTGAAGTTCAGAGGGTCAGAGCATCACATTTACATCTCATCTTTTTGGCTCCAAGAAAACTCTGAATTGGAATATCTTAATCAGGTACACAGCTGTGTGTGTAGATGCAGTTAGTGGTAAAACTCCTGAACCGTGACTATTTTAAGCTAGTATTTGTGCAATTGGGAGAGATGCAAGGTTTTTAAGGAAATTGAAGACATTTCGCTGTACATAATCTTTCTCCATCCAAAACACTAACAGAGCACTCAGAAACAATGAAATGTCATTGCTACACCAAATATTTGCACCAAATTGTAAACAATTTTATTTCCAAATGATCTATATCAAAACTCAATTTTTTTAACGACTACAAGAAAGTGCTTTAACAATGTTTAATAAGAAATGATTCCATGATATTAAAAAATTACCAACATTTACCTTGATTTAAATAGCTTGTTTAATATGATATGGGTGTTTGAGAAACAGCCCCACCAAAAGGAAAATCTGGAAACACATTTCTCTATCAGTTTAAAAACAGGACCCAGTTCAGTTCTTCAGTGGCATCTCTAATAGGTCTGTTTCTTCTGGCTCACCGATTGAAGGTATCACTGAGAAACACGCTGACGTTGGCTGAGTAGTCCAGAGGGAGCACCACCCAGAGCGGAGGACTGACGAAGAGTAAGCAGGCTGTACTTACGGAAGTGACCGTAACCATGATGAGCCTGAGAGGACCTGAGTGAAACCTGCAGCACAAAAAATCACATCACAATGTTTAGTTAACGTGAATTAAGGCACCCCTTTCTCAGCTTCTGCTCTTCTCTAATTCAGTAGTTTTTCAGTAGGTTTTGGAAGTGCACTGCAACAACATAATTGATATTATTATCTTGATGTACAGTATTTTTATTTATTATTTTTTATATTATTTATGTTTTATTAATATAATTTATATGATTACATTACTTTGTTTTAAAGCAGAATTATATATATATATATATATTATATAAAGTAAAAAAAATGCATAATGTTTAGCAGTTGTGTTACATAATCGTGATCTCAGTATTTACATAAATAACAGCGATTATGATTTTTGCCATAATCAAATAGCCTGTATCACTACATGATTTCTACATCACTAATTTGAACAGTCTCAAGTGAAATTAATTATAAGACTGCAGAGAAGCTGAAAAGCTCTATAAAGTCGTTACGCACCAGATTTCATCAGTTCCCAGCTGCGCCACACAGAACTGGCAAGCCAAGCTCACCAGAAAACAGATCCTGATTGAACAAGAGACAAAAATGATTAAATAAGAAAAATAAACTGAGAGTGAGGGTGTCTGTGTTACTGTGGGTGTTTTATTTTTGTTTGTTTTTTACCTGATGTACTTTGGGAAATGCGCTCTTCTACACATTTTCAAAGGAGCAGGAATTTTTTTTGGATGGGAGGGAGGTGGGATTGATTATCTATAGCTTTATATTTCTGTTATGTATAAACCAAGGGTATTAAGTTGAAACATGACCTCTAGGAGGTGCTGTGACTTGCTAATATCATAGTCATTACCAGGCTGTTTTATTTTCCTCTACCCTTGCTGAAAGGGCTGTTCTTGTCAGTTTCATTGTTTCACAGTTTGTGCCTGATCAGGTCTTTGCTTTCCCTCCCCTGTTGTTGAGGTTTTTATTTTAGTTTAGTTTTTTCTTTCCTTTTGGTTATTGATCTTTTGTAGAGGAAAGTTTTGATGTGTCTG